GATGCAAAGCTGAATTTTCAGCATCATTAATCAGGTATTCAGTGTCACATGATCCTTCAGAAATCATTCTAATATGCTGGTTTGCTGCTCAAGAAACATTCCTTATTATTATCAATGTTGAAAACAGTTGTGCTACTTAATATTTTTGTGGAAATTATGATTCAGGATTCTTTGATGAACAGAAAGATCAACATTTATTCGAAATAGAAATCTTTTGTAACGTTACAAATGTCTTTACTGTCACTTTTGATGAATTTAATGCATCCTTGCTGAATAAAATTATTAATTTCTTCCAAATAAAATTTAAAATAAAAAATTATACTGACCCCAAACTTTTGAAAAGAAGTGTATACGAGATCATGTTTGACTGGATATTGAGTAGTATGAACAAACAAATCAGATTGAATTGCTTTTTGGTCACTTGAGGATGTATCACTTTCTACAAACCCTTTAAACAGATTTGCAGTGGAAATCAATCATCTATGTGCCCTAACTTGCATTGCCAACATGCATGAAAGCTAAACAGATACACCATTATATTCAATCTAACAGATTAATTATCCTTCAACTTTTTAAGAAAAACTAAGCTGAAACGAAAATTATCTGTCCGTCCTAAGGATTGTTATTAAGATGATGAAACAATGGTGTTTTTCTCAGTCAATTCCTTCAGAAAACTTTTGCCATCTTATACATCTTCCCATTAAATTAATCAGCCTATTGTGACCATTAAACTAAACAGAGAACCCGCAAACAAGGTCACATCACAACAAGCACAAAAATCCACCCAAACATCCTGTTTACATGGTTTCGTGTAAATACTGTACAATCCATCTGGAAATGTTCTGTAATTTTAGTTTAAAGCACGAGTGTGTGTGTGTGTGTATTAGGCGTACAGTACATCTGTATCCCTGCACACAGTCATCGAAGTGCTCTACAGCACTAAAACAGACACATCTGGTATCAATTCCTGTTTTTTTGCCCGCCCATCCATCTGTCTACACTTTTTCCAGTCCATGCTTGAGTGGGCACTGTGTTTCTTGCCCGAGTGTCTTCAGGGGTAAAGAACAGCACACTACACAACGCTAACAGTTTGCTCGTTCTCTCAACAAGGTGAGTAATGTTAAAGCCGAGGCCCGGAGCGGCACTCGTCCGCCGGTGAGTCAGCTGTTGATGTAGAAAGGGCATTTCACTTATGTTTCTGGCTTCTGCTTGATGTTTGCATTAGCCAGCCATCACTGAACAGCACATCACTTTTAGTCAGGCGAACAACCCATCTTGATTCATTGAGGGTGTTTGTTGCTCATGTTTTTGAGGAGCTTATTAAAGTTCTGAATGGCCTAACAAACTCATGAGATTTATTTTGGACCACTATTCTAATGCCATGTGTACAGTTCTTGCACAGCAGCACTGTGGTGATATTCCTCAAACATTCTTTAGTTGAAATCCTATCAAACTACTGCTATAATTCAACACAGACTGCTTATTTATAAACATCTTTAGTTTATAATTGATTATAAACTAAAGATTGACTTATAATGCTATTTTTTTTTGGAAGCAATGACTAGTCATCATTAGACTACAACAATAAAAACATATGCATTTTATTCTTTATTGGTAGTATTAATATTACAAATAATAATAATAATATTAATAACTAGTTATTTTATCTAAAAGCAGAAATAAAATGAATAAAAGTTGCTTCTGCATATTATTACGTTTTTTACTACTGTTCTTCTTCTTATTATTATTATTATTTATGCCAACAATACTACTACTAATAATAACCAAATCTGTTTTTAATAAACCTCCGCATATGCATTCTAACTTGGCCTCAGCCTCGTTGTTACAAATGAATATAATACAGGTGGTTTTATTGTTGTAGTCTGATTCATTTAGTTATTGTGTCAAAAAGCAGAAATAAAACTATTAAAAATTGCTTATTAATATTATTATTATTTATGGCAAGGTTTGCATTCTAAGTGGTCAGTTACTTTTGTTTAAATACAATTTTTATAATAAATAACACAATAGGCCAATACAAAATAATAATAACATACAAAATAACAAATTACCTTTAGAACACAACAATAAAAACATAATCTGCATTAAAATTCTTTATTATTGTGTTATTATTATTAATAATAATAATAAACTTTTGTCGTGATCAAAACTATGAAAAATTGACTTTCATTTTTGTTTTGGGCTATGTCTAACTGTAGCTTAAATGGCCATTGTTTAAAAAGTTTATAAAGTATAAATATCCAAAGAACAAAAATAATTTTACCTGTGAATATCATAAATGGGTGCCTTTCTTTTAAGCCCTTCCAAATGGTGTGAATGGTAGACCTGACAGTCAAACACAAGTAGCCGATTAAACCGAGAAGTGTAAATATCTGGGGGGGGGGGGG